TGTTGGCTGGCAAGCGTGCCGGCCACCTCATTACCTCCTATTACCATAGAGGAGTAAGGCCCTATTGATGTCCGCTAAGATGTCTAGCCTCTCAACGCACTCGGGAACAATTGCGGATTTGATTTCATTGGAAACAAGAGCTCTGAGTGTGGCCTGACTATCGCTTAATATTAATATGTTTTCATCATGATACTTCACCTGAAGATTGAGCACTGTGCACACACTAATGGCGTGAACCTCCCCTAGGAATATAAGTACTTGGCAATTGCCCTATTCCTGACCCAAAAATTCCAACTCCAATGCCCTTGGGTGTATTCGAGCTGTCTGTATATCAAATATCGGGGCGCAAATATTAGCATTTATTTATATTTAAATCATTCCAGAAGGTTTGTTCCTGCGCAAGGCTCCACTTCTGCAATTTTCTTTGTGATTAAAGCAACATATTTCATTACCGATGTTTTTTTCTTTTTTGTTTTGTTTGTTTTTTTTTTTCATTGCAGCACATAATTTTGTTGCTGGTCAATGAGGGTCGAATCAAAAAATCGTATAAGCGATACGTTATTCCAAATATTTAAATACGTATTATGTGCCTACTACTGCAAATACTAAATTTCATTAACTCAGATCTACCTTACCTCAATCATTTTAATGCTATCCGTCAAGCACGCAAACAGAACCACACATTTTGGTTTGAATATGGCTTACGACTCTTGTTCGGTGCGTACTAAAATATTTATGTATATCCTTATGGCTTTGAAGTGTTTGAGTTACAAAAAAGATCCGAGAAAACTAGCCCCACAGACAGCTTCAGCAGGTCCCCACTGATGATTGTTGCATACTTAAATGTTAATGTGCTGCCATTCTCAATAAAAAATGGAAACAAATGTTATCGAAACTGTCGAAAACATTTACCCAAAACATAAATATTGGCACAGTACATACACTGAGGGAAATAATGCATAGTTAACAAATCGGTTGACGCATTCTATCACTTCAAGCATTTCATATAGTCAACATGGATTTTGCAAGGGCAAATCAACTTCTACAAATTTACTTGAATTAACATCCTATATCTCAAAAGCATTTAGTGAGAGCAAAACTGTTGATGTTATATATACTGATTTCAGTAAAGCATTTGACAAAGTGTGCCACTCGTTGCTCATCTATAAACTTGTTCTTTTTGGTCTTCCACCTAATTTTCTACGTTGGATCTCTTCATACCTCTATGATAGATCACAAAGGGTATTGTTTAAAAATACTATCTCTGACGTCATTGATGTTACTTCAGGAGTCCCTCAGGGTAGCTACCTAGGCCCGATTCTGTTCTTGCTTTTTATAAACGATATTTCTACAGATATAAAATTCTCCAAAATTTTAATGTATGCAGATGATGTAAAACTTTATAAATCGTACGTTTCAATTGAAGAAAGGTCTTTGCTACAATCAGACTTAAACAGCATGGCTTACTGGTGTAAAGTAAATCGTATGCCTCTAAATCTTAAGAAATGTAAAGTAATGTGCTTCTCGCGAAGAGCTGTTCTGCCAGTTTCTTATATAATAGGTAACCATAACCTGGAACAGGTATACAATTTTGTGGACCTTGGTATCACAATGGATCCTAAGCTTAATTTTAATCTTCACATTAATGTGACAGTCAAAAAGGCTAAAGGTGTACTTGCATTTGTGAAACGATGGTCAAAAGAATTTAGTGACCCTTATATCACTAAAACCCTGTTTACAACATTAGTTAGGCCGATTCTGGAATACGGCTCGGGTGTTTGGAATCCAAGGTATCAAATTTACTCAGACAAGATAGAATCAATTCAAAAACAATTCCTACTTTGTGCTTTAAGAAATTTCCGATGGGATTCTCAATATAGTCTTCCACCTTATACGAGTCGCTTAAAACTTATTAACCTTCCTACACTTGCCAGTCGCAGCGAAATGCTTGGTATAATTTTTATGGTTAAATTACTGACAGCCTCAATTTCAAGTCCGTCTCTTCTGGCTGATGTAAGCTTTAATGTTCCCTCACGCGTATCAAGACACTTTTGTCCCATATTTCTGAAAGCTTGTAAACCCAATTTTGAATTGCACGACCCACTCCGTTGCTTATGCCAGGATTTTAACTCTCATTCCAGCACGTTTGATATATCAGATCCGCTTTTCAGCATTAAGAAAGCGATACTCTCCTCTCTCAATAAGTGAATTATTGACATAAATACATAAAATCAGCTGATGAATTTAGTTCTGTAGTTGAACAGTTTTAGATCTCGACACTTAACAAACTCCTGCCTATCGTGACTCGGCGCAAAAATTTAAAATATTGGTTCCGTACGTCATGCGGACTGCGCCCCTCGTGCGGATGGGCGGGAATGGAGGGTAAAAACCGTTGGGATATTATTATTATTAAAATATTTTCATACAAAAATTTATTACGCACGTATTTGATTGTTCACATCTAAGTATGTATATGTAAGTGTACATACCCTGCAGCAATAAGGCGACCGATTTGCCGTATGGGACTAGTACTTCACTGGTTAAAATTTTACTGGTCAGAATTGGACATTTGCTTGCGTCGAAAATCTCAGCTTTCGACCAGTCCGCAAGGAATCGGTCTAGAGATAGACGAAAAGTACAGTTTGGTAGTGACAGGGTGGTGTTGTCTTGCTATTCAATAAAAAAAAAAATTTAAGAACACCACCCTGTAAATGCCCCAATCGCTTCGTCTGGCCTTAATTTAAAGTGAACATTTGAACACACATTTACATGTGTGGATGTAGCTCAGGGCGCAGAGATGCTTGCCAAATACCGTCAGAAGCAACATGGTTGTAAAATGATAAAATTATTTTTTTTTTTTGTTTCCAAAATATGAAAAAGCATCTGTGAAGTGCAGAACGTAATCGTGGTCCAACGAAAAAATAAATCTCCAAAATTGGACTAGTCTAGTACTGTCTTACGGTCACTATCGAGTAGACCGGTCCTTTTCCAATGACACACCAATGCTAAAAATGGCAATTGGCAGGGGAATAGGTACTATCTGAGGGCTAACCTAGGGTGAGTCTGTGTGCTGCAGGGTACGCATCTCCAGCATTCAGAGCGGTGACAACACACACATACATACATAGTACATATTTATCCGTACAAGTCGCGTGCTGTGGTGTTGACGGAAACTCAACATTTGAAGGCACATTTATATGGCTGTCTGTAGCTGAGTGTGCAAAGATGCTTACCACAATTTGTTGATATCCAGAGAGGAGGGTCTGGGTTCGAATTCCCATGCAGGCAAATTAAACATTTTATTTATTTTANAGCTTTCGACCAGTCCGCAAGGAATCGGTCTAGAGATAGACGAAAAGTACAGTTTGGTAGTGACAGGGTGGTGTTGTCTTGCTATTCAATAAAAAAAAAATTTTAAGAACACCACCCTGTAAATGCCCCAATCGCTTCGTCTGGCCTTAATTTAAAGTGAACATTTGAACACACATTTACATGTGTGGATGTAGCTCAGGGCGCAGAGATGCTTGCCAAATACCGTCAGAAGCAACATGGTTGTAAAATGATAAAATTATTTTTTTTTTTTGTTTCCAAAATATGAAAAAGCATCTGTGAAGTGCAGAACGTAATCGTGGTCCAACGAAAAAATAAATCTCCAAAATTGGACTAGTCTAGTACTGTCTTACGGTCACTATCGAGTAGACCGGTCCTTTTCCAATGACACACCAATGCTAAAAATGGCAATTGGCAGGGGAATAGGTACTATCTGAGGGCTAACCTAGGGTGAGTCTGTGTGCTGCAGGGTACGCATCTCCAGCATTCAGAGCGGTGACAACACACACATACATACATAGTACATATTTATCCGTACAAGTCGCGTGCTGTGGTGTTGACGGAAACTCAACATTTGAAANATCCCCAGCATGCAGAGCGGTGACAACACACACATACATACATAGTACATATTTATCCGTACAAGTCGCGTGCTGTGGTGTTGACGGAAACTCAACATTTGAAAGCACATTTATATGGCTGTCTGTAGCTGAGTGTGCAAAGATGCTTACCACAATTTGTTGATATCCAGAGAGGAGGGTCTGGGTTCGAATTCCCATGCAGGCAAATTAAACATTTTATTTATTTTATGTTTTTATCTTGATTATTCACTTCACGGATGCTTTTTCAGAACGAACGCGGTCATTTTAATATTCACGTAATTTAATTGAATATTTACCAATATACAGTAGTTTCATTGAAGTTTATAGTAAGAGCAATTACGTTTCTATTTGATTTTAATATTTTTTCCTCTCAGTGTAGTTTTCTTATAGACTGTGGAGGCACTAAGTGAATGAATTCAGCTGATGCCAAGCTTTTTTGCAACATGCAAACTTATACAAACATCTTTTTTACTCAATTTATTTTTTCTCTACACACCTGTTTCGAATGGTTTGTGCAAATGAAATTGTTCAAGGAACTATTCCATGCGGTCCGCTGTCTTAACTTTTCACATTGAACATGATGTGTTGTTTGTGTGTTGTTGCATGATTTATGATGCCCCATCTAAACGACGTGTTGAACTTGTTGAGTTTCCTGAATGGTTTTGCGTATCCAAGCTTTAAAAATTGTAGGCAAACAAGAAAGTAGAGTTTGAAAAATAAGAAAAATTCAATTATGCCTGCACTTACCTGCCATACTTTTCAACAGCTATGCAATAATTTATGCACACAAGAGATTATTCATACTCAATTTACCAACTGAGCCATTTCTTTTTATTCTCTTTTTGATTTCAGCTTTGACAGTCAATTAGGCGTTGATGATGTAGCGTACGCCAAGCAACTATAACTGGTAAACAAGGAGCAAAAAAAACACCACTTCAAAGTAGTTCATAAAAGCAAAACGCACACACAGGCAATAACTCACGTACCGGTGTAATCAGCTGCGCTCAACCTGCATCTAGCAGAAGGCAACTTTCAAAATCAGCATAACAGTTCAACTCACCGCACAAAATGTCGCACAACAGCACCGTGTCTTACCCTGATGACCCGCAGATACCACAGCTAGCGCTCTTTCCACTCGAAGAGGCTATCGAAACGCCCGTGCTGCATAATCTCAGCACTTTGGTGGCTTTCGACGCACAGAATGACAGTTTTAATTCGACACTGGAATATGACTTCTACGAGAACTGTCCAGCCAATGGCGACTTCATCGGCCACATACTCAACTTTGTACTCTATGTGCTCGTTTGCGTTGTCGGCCTCTTCGGCAACACGCTCGTTATCTATGTCGTGCTACGCTACTCGAAAATGCAAACCATCACAAATGTCTACATACTCAACTTGGCTGTAGCTGATGAGTGCTTCCTCATTGGCATACCCTTTCTGCTGCACACCATTGTCAGCGGCAGCTGGCAGTTCGGCAACTTCATGTGTAAGGCGTACATGGTCAGCACATCGATTACACAATTCACCTCGTCCATCTTCTTGTTGATCATGTCCGCAGATCGCTATATAGCCGTTTGTCATCCGATCTCTTCGACGCAATATCGCACACCAGTCATTTCGAAAATTGTATCCGGCGCCGCTTGGCTCACCTCGGCCATACTCATGTTGCCGGTCATCATATTCGCCGATACGGTCGAGCAACCGAATGGTCACATCTCCTGTCACATTAAGTGGCCTGAGATGGGCCATCATGAAACGGGCTTCACCTTCATTATGTATGTCTTCACGCTGGGTTTTGCGACACCGCTCATTTTCATACTCTGCTTCTACTATCTGGTCATACGCAAGCTGCGCACCGTCGGCCCACAAAATAAGTCCAAAGAGAAGAAACGTTCGCACCGCAAAGTTACCCGACTTGTGCTCACCGTCATCACCGTTTACATACTTTGTTGGCTGCCCTTCTGGATATCGCAACTGGTGCTTATCACCACAACACCCAGCCCCTGCGCCACACGCTTTGAAATTGCCATTTTCCTGCTTGTCGGCTGTCTCGGCTATTCTAATTCTGCCATGAATCCCTTTCTCTATGCTTTTCTAAGTGAAAATTTCAAGAAGAGCTTCCGCAAAGCATTCGCCTCCATAACGGCTATGCGTGCGAAAGAAACTGTCACAGGCAGCGGCGCCACTGGCACAGCCGCCACAGCTGAGCTGCATAGCAAGGACACGAATATGCTCAGTAAGTTGGGCAAGAAGGGCCGCAAGTTGGCTGCCATACGTCAAAAACAGCAAAAGCAAAAGGAGGCGCTACTGGGTGCCGACAGTAATACAACAACTTTGGTTACAAATACAACTTATGGCACGGGGACAACAGCGACGACAATGACCATGAATGAACCGTCGGAGGTGCCGCCAACGGAAATTAAAAATGCCAATCCAGCGTGCACGAAGAGCTTTGACAATGGTCAGCTGATTAACGGTAATAAGCAAGACAAAACAGCTGATTGACGCGAGCTGCGTGTGGTTGTCGATGCTGCGACCAACGAGGTGAGAAAGTCGAAGACAAATGGTGCCCCTGCTCAGTGCTGGCATACGACGAATACGGGTACTACAAAAGATGGGCAGCGACCGCCGGTGTTGCATACTGATTTATAAGGGAATCGGCAAAANCTAAGTGAAAATTTCAAGAAGAGCTTCCGCAAAGCATTCGCCTCCATAACGGCTATGCGTGCGAAAGAAACTGTCACAGGCAGCGGCGCCACTGGCACAGCCGCCACAGCTGAGCTGCATAGCAAGGACACGAATATGCTCAGTAAGTTGGGCAAGAAGGGCCGCAAGTTGGCTGCCATACGTCAAAAACAGCAAAAGCAAAAGGAGGCGCTACTGGGTGCCGACAGTAATACAACAACTTTGGTTACAAATACAACTTATGGCACGGGGACAACAGCGACGACAATGACCATGAATGAACCGTCGGAGGTGCCGCCAACGGAAATTAAAAATGCCAATCCAGCGTGCACGAAGAGCTTTGACAATGGTCAGCTGATTAACGGTAATAAGCAAGACAAAACAGCTGATTGACGCGAGCTGCGTGTGGTTGTCGATGCTGCGACCAACGAGGTGAGAAAGTCGAAGACAAATGGTGCCCCTGCTCAGTGCTGGCATATGACGAATACGGGTACTACAAAAGATGGGCAGCGACCGCCGGTGTTGCATACTGATTTATAAGGGAATCGGCAAATGCATTTGTGTGTATGTATTTATGTAGATTTGGTTAAGGTGGGAGAAGAACAAACATATGAAGACCACGACAGGTGCTGATTTCTTTTATGGAGCTATGCTGCCTAGAGCGTAGCGTTTAACTTAAAATTTAATTAAGAGTGGTTGCCGCGCAATGTACATAGCAAATATAACTATTATTATTTGTCATCAAGTATCCAGGCAATTGCTCAGCAACGTATCCACAAAATACGAATGTATTTAAATCTATACTTAAATTAGAAATAATCCTAAGCGCAGAAAAAAATAGTTTTCAATACCCTAAGTTTTCTTGTGTATGTACGTACTTGTAAGTTAAATATTTAATTGGCTAAGTAAGTATTTGTGTATCTGTACATATCAGTGATTAGGCGTAAATGAATGTTCAAATATAAATAAATGTATGAAATATACTTAAATTAAATATGTATGTATGTAGATACAAATATTGTCTTAAACTACTGTTGACGCAGCTCATGTAAGTACACATGTTTTTTTAACGGACGTTGGAACAAGGAACTTCTGATTCTGATTTTCATAGTAGAATTTCATGGAAAATATTTTCATAGAACATTTTAGCCCATTAGCTCCAGCCTGAATAGGTCGTTTTGACCCTTACTTCATAAACCCCGCAAAAGGCAAATTTAGAAGTTCGTTAGAAAGTGATTCTTCGGAAAATTTTACTAGGGGTCTGCTCAGGCAAAAACCGCATGCCTCAAACGTAAAAGCTGCTTAAAAATTCAAATAAAAACTTGGCTTTTTTCTACAATGTTTTCCAATTGAATTTGGCTGCTATTCCTTCTTGGCATAGATATTTTGTTTTAATTTTACAGACTTTTACGTTGGTTTTGAATTTTTTGCCTGAGAAGACCCCTAGTAAAATTGTCGGAGGAACAATTTTCTATAATATTTCAATCCTCTAACGACTTTCCAAATTCGCTTTTTACGTGGCTTCTTGAAGTAAGGGTCAAAACGACCCTTTTAGGCGGGAGGTAATGGGTTAAAATTTTCTACGAAAATATTTCCCATGCGATTTTACTATATATGTCTTAACCTTTAATTTCGGTCAGACATTTATTTTAACCATTTTTCCACTTTTTTGAAAATTACTTAGGCCGGGACATGAAAACTTTAGTAGGCCATAAAATAAAAATACGAGCTAACTTTTGCAAATCCAAAGAGGCTTTTACTACCGGATGGGTATACTTTCAGAAAATGTTAACAAAGTCCGGGCTGATTTCGGCTGTAGCACAGCGTTACCCATCGACATGTTCGGCAGTTTCCGGCAGCGTATTACATTAAAAGCAGGCAGGGGCGACGCCGACTGCGCAGTGCCCTCGGGGTAGCTTCATGTGTTTGTATACTCGAAGCTGAAGGCGAAAATAAACTCTTATTTAATGTATCGAATTTGAGCGATTTATTATGAAATAGTATTTAATTTTCATTTAATTTTCGCAATCAACTTCTTGTTTACGAACACGCGTCTGATTATAAGTCACTGTATTCGCGGCTGAAGCAACTAAATAAGCGAATGAGTGTTACCATCTTCGACAGATCGATCCGTGGCTCCACCCATTTGGGATCTCAATTTGGACACAAGTGGTAAATCAAAAAGAGAGAGAATAGTGGAAAGAGCATCTGTGGATATGTAGTTTCAGCTTTGGTGTGAGTAAACTTTAGTCACCTTTAGTATTCCTGTTCAGCCTGGCGAGCCCAGTGAACGTTGAAACACAATACCGACGAACGGCGAATTTTCGCACAGTAGTGTGACGACGGCGGCAACTTTCGCCCAAAAATTTCGCTAAGTAAAACACAAATACGGCGACAACGAATTCAGCTGCTTATGGCAGGCACAATTAAAATTTTTACAAACAATAGGATTATTAATTTTTAACAAAAACTAACAGTATTTTTCAATTTCGATTTAAAAACTTGAGAATATTTAGCATATGGCCACAATGGATCGTATTTTGCCGCTGCCGCCAGCGACGACGATAGAAATAAGGGACGTCGTCCCTATGGACCGACCCCATAGAGGCTGCACGCTTCTTGGGGCTGCCGTTAGTGGATCTCGACGACAACGACTGAGATATCAGCCGATCTGGGCGGGGTTGTTGTAGCCGCTACAACAACAACAACAACATATAACAACAATAAGTCGATCGTTGCCAACAGTCGTCGGACGAACGTCGTCATTTGCTTTGGTTGTGTGCATTCTCATATACAACAGTGTGCTTTAATTTTTACAACGAACATTCGCAGCGAAAAATTCGCCGTTCGTTCGGAATTGTGTTTCAGCGGTGATAGGAACTAAAATTTTATTCGATGGTTGCACCTCGTCGGATTCAAAACTATGTACGAAAACTTCCAAACACTGAAGAAATGTCCATGCTGTTGCTGAATAAATTAAATCGGGCTGGTATTCGACTCATCGTATTCCACAAACTGTCGATGACTTCTTACGGTATCCCTGGTTTGTAGAAATCAAAATAACAATAATAAAGACAAAAATAAAACATGAGTTCCTACAGGGCAGTGTCATCTCCGCGGTTATACATAATTTCTAAATATCGAAGCTACCTCGGTCACCAGAGGAAGTTTTCTTTTGGCTTCATAAGCTGACGATTTCCCAATATTGGTGTCTGGCAATCATGGCCTGTGCTAGAAAGTTAACAGCTTGCACTCTGATCTAACTCGACTATCCACCACAAACTTCACTTTCCAAACTTCTGTTTGGAATTTACGTCGATGGCACTTCAATTCTTACTGTGAACAACAGGGGAAATCCAAAAGATTGCTTTCGACAGCTCTTTCTTTCATAATAATACTAATTGCCTGCCGAGGGGCGAACGCTATTTATAAAAGCCATTTCCAGTATTTCTACTGGGAGGTTGCTTTGACCGGGGTTCGAGCCTTGGTCCTGCGGAGTGGTAGTTCGCACCTATAACCATTCGGCAGCAGCGCTCGCCATTTCATAGTAAACTGCAAAGTCACAACCAAGTCCTCAAGTCGCCCTCCAGGCAGGACTTGGGGCCAAGGCAAAGAAACATTGCTGCCAACATTAAAGTACCGCCAGTTTGGTCATCGGGGACATGCATTTCGCAGCGCAACTATGGGCTACAGTTGTTCCTTGTAAGGGAGCTCAACACTATTTTGAGCATGGGACGCTCACTATGTCTTATGAAATCGCTTATTTCTGCAGCATTATTCCGTTATAATTTCATCATACCGTCATTGAGCCATATGACTCATCGTTTTTACGAGACCCAAGAGCCTTTAACATACATACATACATATGTATTGCAATACGCCATATATTCACGAAGCTGCTGGTTCATTCTCCCAGGCGGTAAAATCTGAAGCACTTCTAAGTAAAAAGATGCTAAATGGCAGGGGTTTTCCAATAACACTTTCTCTTTAGAAGCTGTGTTTCCATGTGAAAGGAATGAATCTGGCATTAATTAAAAGGCCTTAAAAGAGAAAGAATCGAGGACGGAGAGCATTTCACTTAAAAATAGCATTTCTGCGCGCATTATATTTTTTTTAATTTTTCCGCTGGGTTACATTGATGGTTGTAAGAAACTATACAGACCCGAGTAAGGATGCCTCCAAATTCATTTATTATTTTTCTAAACGTATGTACGTGTTTTCCTACTAAACATATTTTTCTTCATCCTTGAATATTTGTTCTGCTTTTTTTGCTATTGTACGTTTATAAGCTGGATTTCCACTAGGCATTAAATGGCAAAAACAACAAATGACAAAGTTGGGCATTAAAAATTAATCGTGTCATTACGTTAAAAAAAAAAATAGCAATTAAGTTCATTTCCACATGGCATTTTTTTTTATATAGCATACAATTTTTGTCATTTCAATGCCTAGTGGAAATTCTCCGAATTACATGTCCTCGTTTTTTCGTTTATACTCATAAAAGCTATAACATCATGGTAGTAAAAAACCAGCAACGCGTAAAAACCTTATTAAACTCTTATTTCATTGGATGCCCAAGAAACCATTCGCAGTTACATCAATCAAACTGATATAATAACAAATCTTTAACTGCTGTGCGATGAAAAAAATTATCAATGAATGAATATAGGAAGCTAAGAAAATTAACTGTGAAGTCAGATTAAGAAACCACTTGAAATAGTAATTTAGCTCTACTACTTTTGTACTCACTACAAGTATACCTAAAGCGTAGAAAAGCTTAGAAATTGGATTAGGAGCAAAAACTAGCACAGGCTGCTATT